TAAAACGTAAATGATATATTATCTCTTTAACTTCTATGCTTTATTTTCGACTGTTTTGTGCTGAATATATATTATTCTGAACTTTATACGCATCTAAATTTTCTATCAAACTTAATAATTTAATTTTAATTAATAACACATCTTCTATAGGAATTCTATAATAAATTAAATGCGATTATAGGCATAATTTTTATGTTTAATTCTTGCCTAACTTTCTTAGTGAATGTATTTTCATTGAAAAGCAGTTATTTAGTATGAACATGAGTTTATAGAAAGAAATATGAGTATATATTGTGTATAATATGAAACATTTCAAAATTAATGTGCTTTATGAGCAAAATTGTAAGCAGTTTTCCATATTAACTTGATCATTCTATATATAAAATGAAAGAAAATATATTATTAGCATAAATTGACTTATTGTGAGTATGAATGAGTGTAATTTGAAAGTAAATATTCTCTTATAAAGACATAATTTTAAAACAATTTTACCTTAAGAATATAAAACGAATATATCTTCATAAATCCATAATTTGAAATCCAATATGAGATCTATCATAAGAAAACTTGAAATTTTAAGTCTACTACGAGCATGAAATTATAATTCGGTCCCCGTAATAAAGCGTGAAATAAGTTTAATGGGAGACAAAAAAGGAAATTAATAGATAATTTAGGACTTTAACAATAAGAAACAGAGGTTGCACTGTAGTAAATGAATAAGGAAATGTGTTGTAGGCTTTTTGCCTACTTTAGGCGTCAGAAATCTCCAAGTGGCAATGTGTCAGTCCAAATATAGAAATCTTATTAAAGTAGAAAGAAGTTTATAGCGGTCATTTGGGCAAGTCTTGTTAAAATTTCAAGCCTCGTTTGACCTTTGTTATGCGATTTAGCTTTTTTTTTTTCTTTTTAACTTTTTTTAATCTGTCTTATAACACTCTTTAGGCATTTCATGCTTTAAAGAATAACATACTGTTTAGGGTCATGACCTCTTAGAAAACCTTTCATAAAAGAATGATTCTCTGTTGGTGAACGTTTCATTCTAACGTCAGCAGTACTTAATGTTAAATATCTTTAGAGGAAGTCTTTCTATAATAAACTTTCCAAATAGATTTATTTTTTGATAGACGTGAATGAGGTTTTCTAAATTTTAAACCCTTAATACAGCTTTATATAGTATTATTTTATTTAAATTAAATTATTTCTGATAAAAATGCTTTATTAATTTACCTCTATATACATTATGCAATTATAAAATTCATTTTCCAAGAATTCACAACTGTATCACAGCATGAAGCTTCCATATCCATTTGATAAACATTATATATTAAAATAAATAAATATTGTATTAAATTTGGTATTTTTCTCATAAATTATTTATGTGAAATGCTTTATAAACAAAATTTAACATGTCATTTTTGTAAATAAAGATGCTAAACTTATTCTTTATAGCGCTCTCCTCAAATAACATATACATTTATTGATGATATAACAGTAAATATCATTCAAGATATGTAAAATAACTCGTAATTATACAAGTATATACATCAATCATCTCAAATTTCTCATATTTAACCAGTTTTTCGTTTGATGTAGAAGGATAATTGATTCAATTACGTTATGAAACTTTGTGAAATCTCATAATGTTTGCAGGTCGAAATGCAATATTGCCTAATTTAAGTAATAATATATGCTGCAAACGCACATTAGACACATTCAAACACGAAACAAGATCCAAATTTTAATTATAAAGATGAAAATAAGCAAAAATTCTAAGAAAATTTTCTTATTTCGTCATTAATTTGGTGATAAATTAACAGCTAAATTTGTATATAAATTTTTTTTATAGGTCTATACTTATTCTATCCACCTTAGTTAATTTTAATTAGTCTGCAGTGAATTGTATCTACATTAAATCTTATCTACAGTACAATTGTAGTTGGTATGCAAGATGCATTATAATGTTCTGTTCGGCAGTAATATTAAAGTATGTAAACATATTGGCATTTTATAAAAGTTCCTGTAACGTTATTCAGGTTATCTAGACGATAACTCGAGTGATAATGCGATCGTAGAGCTTATTGAGACCAATCATCGAACGAGAATGTGTTTAGATGTTGACCTCGAGTACTTTAGATTCGGAGATGTATGTTATAACGAGGCCAAGTACTTTTTGAGGAAACCTGTCTTCGATATAACGATTGCCATCGCTAATTTTAAAAAAATAATTTGAACGAAAGCATTTATTAGAAGTCAGTCAATCATTTTCATGTAGTAAACTGAAGTTTCTGCACAACGTTCGACATAAATGCAGATATTTTTATTCCAAAAGTTTCATTTTAAACATTCGAAATACAAAATTTTAGCAAATTTTGTAATCAATTTATATCTCAGAAATTTTTTCTAGTTTTTTTTTGTATATTTAAACATTTAATCATAAGCAAATTAATTAAAACAAAGCAGATTTCATCCTAAATTATTATCTGGGATGTAGTCTGAAGGAAGAATTCTTTATAAATTTATATTTAATTTTTAAAATTTTAACTGCCCGAATCAAAAATAAAAATTAAAAACAATTTTTTCAAGTTTCTTACCTTCAAGGAACTTGTAATATTTCGAATTTCACTATTCAGAAAATCAAGTAATACGTTTATATCTTTTGTACAACACACATTTTGTACAATTATATGTAAATTTCTCAAATTAAATTGAATATTCTAATTATATATTTCCTAAATAAGATCTATTTAAATTTTATAATAAAAAAAATTCTATATGCTGTATAAAGCCTAAATTATAAAATTTTATTTAGAAAATTTCAAAAGTAAAGAATTGAAAATTTGCAGATAACTTTAAGTAACGAGTTCTAAAAATAAATTTTATTATATATTATTATTAAAAAAGGTAGTATTAACTTTAATTTATCAATATACAGGCAAACCTCGTTGTAATGCCATCATTTATTTGCCTCTGAAATTGGAACTAAATCGAGGAATCACCCAATAAAAATTATTTAACTAGTTATAAACGCAAGTTTGATGGTAACAATGTCATTTTCAATACAAAATCTTACATATACTTAATTTAGAGATATAGATTGTAGTGTTTTATACTGTAGTTATGAAGAACGAGCATTGGTTGGCGCTGTACGAGGGTGGTTGGCGTTATAGGGAAGGTCGCCATTCGAGGTTTCGCTGTATTATATATATTTTAATTGATTCTAAGAGATTGTTTTTTTAAGAATTAAATGTTGTTATATCCAAGCAATTTGTACCACATACAATAATTAATAGCGTAAAAATGCTTTAGTAGCAATTTTCTTAATTATTAGAAATTTAGCTTAATTTATATTGCAAAAAATAAAGATTCTGATAATTATTTTTCTTTTAAAATCGTATATCATGAAGCGAATCATATTAAAAAGTGAATTGATACATTTCAGAAAGAAGTAAAAGTTTTAACAGAGAAGAATTCTTGATTTTATTTTTAATGATATTAACGAATAATGTTTATATGTTTTTAAAAACAGAATTAATGTAGACACACGCACACTACTTTTGGCCTTATAATTTCGGCCATTTTTCTTTACCATAGTTTAATAAATGGAAGAAAAATTGAAACTTTTAGAATAAAATTACAATTATATCGTTTATTCGCAAACGTAGTAATTAATTTTACTTATTTATTTTCGCGTTAAATCTAGAGAGACCTATGTATATATATATATATAAATATTATATTTATTTACGCTAAATTAAAGTGGATTATGCTCCCTCTGTTCTCTCTCTCTCTCCTCCTTGATACATCCATTCTTATCTATTTTATCAAGTAAGAAATTCTTACTTATAAATAATATTTATTAAAAAAAATAAATTTAAATAATACATTTTAAAACTATTTCATTCTAGATATTAATATATAGATTAATATAGAAAACTTTTTAATAAGAAGAATTTTATCTTCTTGCCAACTGAAAAAAACATTATCTTGTATTACTATAAAAGTTTAAAAATATATAAATTATTTCTTTTTATGGTTATAAATAATAAAAAATTCCTCTTCCAAGTATTTCTAATATTGGATTATATAAGTCCATAAGAAATTTCTACAAAAATGTTATTGCTTTGCTCTTTATTGCTTTATAACGATTATATTGCTTCATAAGAAATTCATTATAGACTTGCTATTAATTTAAAAAACTTCGAATATATTTTAATTCACTTATGAAAATTGAAGATTTTCATAAATGTTTTAATTTAGTTTTTTCTGTTAAAATTCTTGAAAAAATTTATATTATTTAAAATTTATAATATCAAACTGTTGATACTGTAGAGAATTATTGCTTAGTATTAAATTAAAGATACAAACGTTTCAAATCAATTTAAAAATTTTAATGAAATTAATTCATAAAAATTAATTTTTATTTTATAATTTAACTTTTGGACATTAGATGGCGCGGCAGTTTAGGAAAATAAACTGATCTAAAGTCACTTCTGCCATCTGGTTTCGAAAATAAGAACTAAAATTTTTAAATACAGTATCTCGAAATTATGAAAATTTCTTTTTTTACACGACGAGTCATTAAAATTTTAATATAACAAATTTCAATTATTTTATTATTACATAATTTTTTTATTTATTAGAATATCTACAATCTTCTTAATAAAGTTAATTATAAAATAATTGGAATTAGTTTTGTTATCATTATTATTTTTACTAAAAACTAAATTTAAATTTCAAGGATATATAATCAATCTTTTAATGAATATTTACTTAAAAATTTTATTAAAAAATTTTTTTTACGATTTAATTAACATTTCGCGATTTAAAGAAAAGGTATAGTACCATGTAGTGCCCTCTATTGGATTTATTTATCATAAGGACTGTACGTAGCACCCTCTGCTGATATATTTTAAAATAAATATATGTTTATTTTTTGTTTTGTTTTTAAAAATTTTAATTTATATTTAAAAAAAGCAGAAAAATAAAGACATATTGCATGATTTTTGTTTTTATTTTCAGGGAAAAATTACAATCATATTTGCGAAATTTTTACCAGAAAAGTGAATTTTTTTCATAAACTTTCCTCATCAAACGGGAAATTTGTATTTTTTTTTTCAATTTTTAATTTTTTTTTCAATTTGCATTGGAAACCCGTTTACAAATGTAGGATTGGAACACTACATATGAAGAAGAAGTGCAATAATTAAATCAAATTTATATTGTATTCGTTACATTTTCTATAAAGAGATATGGCATAAAATCAATTATATTCGGATATGAAGGAGAAATGAATACTTCACGAGAACACAAATGATATATTCGTGATTTTATGTGACAAATAACACATCACACGTTACAATAAGCTTGTTTAAATACATCGAGAACATTAAGTACACGTTTCGCGAATGCGTATACGAGTAATAAAAGGTTTACTATGTACAAGAACATTTGGTTTCACTCCAAATCTTGGTTATAACCATAATGTTCTTTTGACTAGAGTTCACTCATCATTCTCTTTCATTTCTTATAATATATATAATAATAATTAAAAGATAAAAACGCAAACGTGCTAATACATAACGCGATATTTTGCAACTACTATATACAATATTTAATATATATTTTTTAATAATAAACATAACTTAATTTAGGAAACAAGAATGAAACATTTTACATGGAAAATAATCTTAATTTCTCAATTGGTATCCTAAGAAATAATGTCTAAGAAGAGCCGATGTATACAGTTCTTAAGTCATTCGTAGCAACGCGATAGATAAAGCGTACAAACATACAATCACTGAACGCGACTGGTGGGGAGTGGATGTATTTTTATTTTGTATTATTATTATTTTTTTATTATTATTTTGGAGATCCCCGAATTGGCACAGATATTAGCGCTTTCGGTTTTCTTCTTGTCATCCTACAGTTAACTGTTTTGTTAAGCGATGCGCTTGGATCCCATGAAGAGGCACAGCCATTAGGAAGGCACGTTCACAGTCTGGCTTTCGTAAATGCAAAAAGGATGAAAAGTAAGAATTATTCCTCTTTTTTTTGGCAATCTCCGAGTGAAAGTAAATAGACAAGACTACATTACGAGACGAAACTAGTTATGAAAATTATTATTGGTACTATATATATATATATTCATATATTTTTATAAATATGCAACTGCCATTCATACGTATAAACACGAACCTTTCACACCGTTTAAATTCTTAGCCGCATATGCTATTCTCGCGTGGAATGCTTGCTGAGTAACTAAATTCCTCCTGGGTCTATCATGCCCAGTGGATGAATCGGTAGCCTCTAATAAATAGGCTTTAATTCTATTAGGAAGCTTTAGTTGAATGACATCATTGTCATTTCGTAAGCAGCTCATAACAGCCGAACGGCATCTGTCTTGCAAATCTGTATATTCTCGTTTCATTTGACCCAATGACATTTCTGTTTTAGCAGCCGTGGAGCATACAATTGGATACAGTTCCTCTTGTATCAAATGGAGCCCAGTAAATGCCACACCTAAGCATGTCCCATCTTTATAATATGTAAGTGTACCCTGTCGACCGTCGAAGAGAATACCAACTGTAGTAGCTTCGTTTTCTCTGAATGGCTTGGTGTACTGTCTCCATTCTCCGTTATGCCAAAGTAGGCCTTTATGCGACAGGCCCCAACCTTGACCGTCTTCACCCAACATGTTTACAAATGCATCTACATGCAGTCGAGCCTTCTTGGTTCCTATTCCGAACATCATACTGGTTCCAAATATCCTCTGTGATACTTTAACTTCCCAATAGTATCGTCCTCTGTTAAGAATGCGAGTACCACGTACACCGGCTGTACCATTGCTCCAATTTGGATGAAAATGTGCAGTGCGTAATTTCGGTCCATATAATCTAACTTCGTGTGACTTATCACGTCGATTCCAACACCAATTATCGGTGCATCCATATCTTAATGGTTCATCCTGTACATTTGCCATTACAGGAATCTGTAGAAAAAGAATATATTCATGTTAAAATATTCATTTTCTATTAAATAAAAATATAATTTCAGATTAATATTTATAAAATTAATAAAATATTTCAAGAAAATTAAACGATAACATTGCCGTCAAGTTTAAATAACATGCAGGAAAACCTGATTTACAGGGGAGGATACAACAACTTGCAACAGATGGCAAGTTTATTGAGTACAATTTTCCAGTTTTGTTACATAATATCATAAAATTTCATCGTTATGTCATTTAATACAACAATATAACAATGATTTTTATTTCTCATTACTAATATTACACGTAGTAAAATTTAAAAGCTTAAACAAAAACTAATGCTTGAAAAATTCGAAGTGATAATATGTAAATAATGAAAATAGCTTTAATTATTACATTTTAAAATGAGTAAACTTCAAAGATTAAAATATAAAATGTAAAAGTAATACAAATAAAATATTTTACATTATCAAAAAATTATAAAAATTATGTTATTTTGAGTACAATTACACATTAAAATGGTTTACTTATTTGTTTAAATTAAATTTTGTTTAAAGTATAAAACAAACAAAACAATATTTTAATTTTGTTAAGTAATGTTAATTACAACGATAAAATGAATGATTTCATTTTATTTTGTGTTTTTTTAAATACTATATATAAAAAATAATTTTAAAATTTAAAATTAAAATATTAGCAAAGAAATAGAACAAAAATATTATTTTCTATCATTGGAAATAGCTTTTTTCCTCGTTTAATGCATCTGTCTGAAACTAGGGGAAAAAGGAGATGATAATATGACTTGACACATACAGTGAAATATAGCAGAAGTGCAGAGAAAATAAGCTTCTTTTCGTTATCTTATCAACTTTTCTATCACCAAAAAGTATTTTCTATTCTGCCAATCTGTTGCACGTCTAAAAGTAACTACATTTTGAATATTGACAATAAAGTAATCGAAATTATTCTATATAAAATCTAAAATAACCAAATTCAAAAGCTTTCTTATATTTTCATTTTGCATAATTTTCGAATTTAAATATTTAAAAATTGATTTTTAAAATGCGAAAATAACATATTTATTCTACTACTTTTCAAATAATATCTACAATTTTAAAAACATGCTTCAATATTAGAGTCTGGACATTTTAAATCAATATAACAAATTATTTAAATAAATAATTCTTAATTTAATAAAATATTTTAAAGCTTTTTATATAAACCTGTTTATATTATTTTAAAATTGTATTTAAGTTGAGATGATGGAGGAAAGGACAAAAAAGCCATTTCTTGCGATTGCTCCTTAGATAACATTTGAAGCAGCTGTGAGTTAGATCGATTTAAGATCTATTTTAGTAAATTAAGAACATCCGAGTCAATAGCTTCAATTTTATTGATTTATAAATTTTGTTAAATTATTTACGGTCCAATTACATAAAGAACTGAAAACTGATATTACTTTTTTTTTTCGAAATGAAAAAATAAAATTTACCTTTATTACGACTTACATTTCATTTACTAAAGTTACACTTTATTTTCATTGTAAAAACGAAAAAATTTAAGCTAATTTCTTATTTTAAAACATTTTTATTAAGATACTTTCATATTTTAAGCAAGTGTTCTTCTTCTATAAAACTGTAACAACGAACTATACTCAGTTACGATTATAAGACGTTAATGATAATTTTTAGGCCAACTGTAAAATTGTATTCAATTTTTTACGATTTAATATACAGTATATATTACAGTTAATCGTCTTCTTGCAGTATTATATCAAATTTTTTGACAGATTTAGTATAAAACACAGTTATACTTAACGATAATTATCCTCGTCACGCAAGAACAACAATTTCGATTATCAATCATAAAAAAAAACAGGTTCGAGAAATTTTCTAATTAAAGTAGATTATAGATGTATTCTGGAGTTTTGAAGTATAATTTATTTCCATCTTTATATGGAGAATATTTAAATAAATACGACATATCGATAAATTTTGAGTGACAGTTGAGAGAACGTTCAACAAAGAACCTGATATCTACCATAATTATCCTTCGTGATTATCGTTTTTCGTGATATTCTATAGTGCCAATATATATTATGGTGTTTCCTGTTAGTATTTTGAATTTTTAATTTATGGTTAAAAATAAAGAAAGCATTATAAACTATATATTATATAGCGTAAGTATTTGTTTTTAAGAATGTTGACAGCAAAATCCTGTAATTTGTTATCAATATAAATTGTAGGGTTTGCTATAAATGTAGAGTTTTAATTTTTTATTTAGTTAGAAATAAACAAAAATAAATAAACAGTAAATCTTTGTCAGTAATTTTAACGCTGTAAATCTCATAATCTCTGCCGAGTGTAGAATTTATAATAAAGGAAATTTATCAATTTTTTAAATTAAAAACTGTAAAAGGACATAAATATCCAAGTATATAAGAATAATCGTTTGTCAGCATTGTAAATATAAGACCTAAAAGCATATAAACAAACTGTAAGTTTTTAAGATTATAGGATGACTGTATCCTTTAAAATAACTGATGTAGAATTTAGTTAACTAATAGCTAAAACATTGATCTAACTGACTGTATTAAAAGAAAACTAATCCTATAATTTATAAAAACGATGAAATTATGAAGAAAAATTTAAATTTTTTAAACTTTTTCCAACAGCAAACTCTATAATCTGTTTAAAATCTACACTACAATAAATGAATATCTTGCAGTTTAAAGTAAATGATATGTTAGAAATAATAAATTGCATAAGAATTATTTTGTTTCTAGAGTTATTGATAGAGAAATCGGCTATGGTATTTTCTGTAAGTGAGCATTTTTATATGCTTTACTCTTGGCTAAAATACACGTAAACAGAGACAAAATGGGCAAAGAAATAACATAAAACTCGAACTTACCTCCAAGTAAGATACATAAAGCTCGGCATCGGTTGCCGAGCAGCGACGCTTTTTGCATTTCTTTGTCCGCGAAACCATTCAAATTAAACTTATCTAACCGTTAGCACAGGCGGTGGTGAACTACCAGCAGCGATCGCAGCTGTAACAGATGTGTGTGCTCTACCGTTAGACAGTTAACTTCCCCCCTTACGTTTCGCTCGCGTCAGGCACGTGCGGGGATCTATACCGACCAATGGCGCGACGAGTATGACCATCAGGGGCGTGAATCACTGTCTACATTAAGGGTCCCCCCCGTGTTTGTTACCCCGTCTCAGTTAGTTCTCGTCTAATGCGGGTGCTAACGGTTTCGCCTCGTATCCTATTAAACTCTTAATACATAAAGTTTATATGTCGATAGGTAATATATACCAAGCGAATATTAACGAATAAACTGTTTTACGATATCCTAAAGATGTTATAATACGATTCTCGATGCTTTCTGTATTATTTATGACGTGATGTATAGTAAATAAATAAAAGAAAAGCATGCTGTAAGCTTAAAATCGCGAGTTTATCTGATTTTAAACTATAGTAGGGGTGACCATGATATACAGCGAAGAAATCAATAATGTTCCAGTTATTGGAGTGGGTCTACACAATAAAATTCGTGCTTTTCATTCATTCATTACCGAGAGATCTAAATATAACCAGATATAGTTATATTACGCTTTCAAGCGTGATTTTATAAGCTTGAATGTATAAAATGAATAATGGGAAGTGAAATTTCAACTTTTCTACTTGAAATAAATTTCAAAAAATTGAAATAAAAACACACAAATGTTTGTTTATTCACAAGAGAAATATATTATTAATAGACCTATCTACACACAAAATCCATCTTTCTAAGTTACTTATACTTGAAAGAACACTTGACATTTATTTTGAAGTTTATGAAGAAGAAGCAATCATTGTCTTATGAACTTATAAACTATCAAATATGCTATTTTTTAAATAAAAAAAAAATCAAAGTTTGGAGTTTGTAAAGAAAATGTTATCGTGAGTGAGTGAATCTTATGAAGAAATTTACGATCACGCTTTAACATTTCACACTCATAATTTTGAAAACATTAACTTGCTTTACCTATGAATATACGTTAAAATATGTACAGAAAACATAATTAACTATAAAAAAAACAGCCTATAAATCAAACACGAACATGCTAACACATAACCATATTTATATTTTTGAATTTTATCCATCTGTTTACCTCTATCTGCACACTTTAAATTTGCATTTCAGTAAAGTCCTGATATCTTAGTATCAATCCTAATTAATTACTTATTATTTTATTTTAAAATCAAATAATTTAATTATAATTTTACTAAGAAACCGATTCAGACATATCGTCTACATGAAAAGAAAGTTAAACTTTAGAAGGAAATATCTTACAAAACACAAGGGAAGTAATATTTATTATAAAAATATATATTTGCTAAAGATTTGGATATAATATTAAAGCATTGTGGAGGTGGACAAATAAAATATATAAGAATATTTCGAGAGGAGTATGCTTAGAAAATAACATAATACAGAGTTCCGAGTATTAATTCTGTAGATTGTAGTCCATTAATTTTTAAATCTTTTGAAATATTGTACATTCATAAAAAAACGTAATTTCTATAGATACATAAAGTTCAATGTTTTCTTTTCTCAAATATACATATAAAGAAAAATGAATACTTTACTTTTCCTCTTCCTTCTCAGGTATAATAAGCATATGAATATGATACAAAATATTCATTTTAAAGCTCGTTGAGATCTCGTACAAAAGATGAATGATACGAAATTTTAAGAGAATAACAACACTATTTTTAGAATAAATTTCGAAAAATACGAATGAAAAATTTATAAAAACGTTAATTTTTTTTTTCAATTATCAAATAAATTAGAAGTTGAAGACTTTTAACAATCGCTCAAAAGAACAAATAAGCCAACTGTTAGCCTATGTTAATTAAGTTTAACTTTGAAGGAATTTTAGATCCTTCGGGCAAATATCCTTTGTTGACTTTTTAGCAAAGGATTTAACTAACTTACTATTAGAAAAGTTTTTTTTTTTTTTTTAATGTTATTGTTTCTTAAAATCTAGCTTTAATTCATCTTCCTTTATTTAAAATAAATAAANATAATTTATAAATAACTTTTTGTGACTTTTCATCATCTTGAAAGATCTGGCAACATTTAAAGTAGTTATTTAAAAATATTTTCCCAAACGTCGTCGGCATGGCAACATTGGTGGCGGAAGAACGGCCACTTTCGACTCCCTCCTACTGCCAGGCACGTGGATCAGTGAGGAAAGTGGCACGTGCGGGCATACGAGTTCCCACGTTGCAGTGTTGCCATCGTGGCGAGCATTTCCTGAAAGGGGGGAAAACAAATTGGATAAAATCTATTCATGATTTTTAAAATTAAACTAGTTTCTATTATCGGATACTTTTAAAGGTTACAACCTTTGATTAAACGAAAAAAAGTAGTATTAAGTGATAACCATCTGTTATATTGTACATTACTTATCGCCTACCTGCTAGAATTATATCGAAAAGTTAACTTTCGATTTTGGGATGTATAAGATAAAAAATTTATTGTCCCAAACTGAGAAAAAAATGTTTAAAATATATACACTATTAACGAAAAAACTAAAATAAAAATAGAATCTGACGAAATTTTCATTCATACATTTGTACAATTGGTTGAATAGTATACGAAATTTCCCATGTTACTATGGTGACTATGGACAATGACGTTGTTATGACGTTCTAATAAGACGGCCTTTATTTTCTGCTATACAACTGATCGTTAATTAATCATTTTTAATGAAAGTTATAAGCAAATTTATTGTGTTGTGCACGACATATAAATACATATCATCTATCTACATTGTTATTATTAATCTTGATGGTTATACATGAAAAAGTTCAAATATAACAAGTTGTTGATAAATATATCAATATTTTCGAGAGGATGAGATGAGAAATCGCTTCTATCTATACACTTTATAAACATAAATACATAAATTTTTATTGAAGACTTACACGCTCTTTAATATTAAAAACTTAAAAGTGAAGACATTATTCCAAGAAGCAACATGTTAACTTACACACCTACAATTAGTAAATAATTTGGCTTACTATTATATTTATTAGCCTCTAAAATAATTTAGATTTTAACTAATATCTCAATTCAAAAACTTCCTGATATTTATCTTGTTCACACAAAGAACCGACATCTCATATATTATTTTTATATCACAGAAGGCTCGTTACACACAAAACAATGTACTAATAAAAGATCCTCGAAGATGGGTTGTAATTAATAAATTCAGCGAGAATCGCTACAACATCCTATTTTCGCACGTGCAGGATGTAGGAAGGGAAATTGTTCACACAGACAACCAGACGAAGTTTTACAGTAGAATGAAAAACGATGCTTTTCCTGTAGGAGTGCGTATGCCGTGTAATAGCTCTTCCTCTAAATCTGTTTATTCTCACATAGATAATGGAACAAGCCTATTAATTTTAATGCATCGTTTATGTCCTATTGTGAACTAAGCAAGCATTATGTTCTTCGACACGAGTAAAAATCAAAAGCGAAAAATTACAAAATTACATGCCACAATCTGTGTTTCTTCTTTGTTTAAAATAAATTTAAACAGTTTCATCAGGATGAAAATGAACAATAATACATTCAACACTAAGCTGCTAGGTAATTTTTCACGTGCTATAGATACTGCAGATGTATGGTTTGTTTTGTATACTTTTTAAACATATTCAGGCATGTTTAAGAATTTAAATGGCTTAAAGAAAGAGTAGAAAGATGAAAGAGGGGGACCAGAAAGTGAAAAAAGGAAGGAGGAGTTAAAAAAAAAATTGTAACAAAGGTAAGAGAAACTCTTTCTGATATTGGCCATCTGCGGGTTCCGGCTAGAAATAAAAAAAAGTGGTACAGTAGGGCAGTTGGAAGGAAAAAAAACTGACGGATTATACCCCGAAGGAAAGGGGGAGTAACGTGGCGCGTGCCGGGATAGAGGTAAAGAAAAAAAAAAGGTAAGGGAGCCTTACCAGGTTGTAGATAGAGTACCAGGTGCAGTATCAATTGGATTCTCTACAACTTTATCTTCAAAATTAAGCCAAAGCACGCACGTTTGTATTTATAATAAGACAAATAAAAGAAAATCTAACAAGAAAATATTTTAGTTAAATTTTTATATTAATAAAAGCATAAATAATAATCTAGAAAAGTATAGGGTCATTGACACTGCGCCAAGCGATAAAAATTACTTATTCAGTGAGCTTTATTGAAAATAATGTTGGTGGTGCTGAAAGTTGTGATATTCATCAAATTAATGTAAGACAGAAATGCCATTTAAGTGCTGAAAAAAACTAGAAAATTGATTTAAACAACTTGATGATTCTGAGTTATATTATCATGCACGTCACATCTATACTCAGTTGCCCTGTACGTAAAAAATTGTATGTAGGTTTAAACATAAGGCTCTTCTTATAATTTAATGTAAAAATATTTTTAAAATATGTTTAAAAATTATATATTGTTTTAAAAAATAATTTTTGTATTTATTAGTTTTTAGTTAAAACGGTTAAGTATTGTAAAATTCCCATGACTCATATGAGTAATTTTAGAACGTACAATATAGTTTTAATGTAACAATATGGTAAAAATTTAATGTTATTGGTATATTAAATTAATATGCTGTTAGTGTAAGGTTATTAAAATATAGAAAACAGCTTAAGTGAACATAAAAAATGTATAAAAATTCTCTGAATAGGAATTAAAAAGAAAAAAATTATATCTTAATCTATATACGATACGTTGGACTTGACTGCATAACACAGCCATACTAAGGCAAAACTTACAATCGCATGATTAATAATCTGAAAACTTACCAACATTAAATGATTCTTTCTGTAAATTTTTGAAAGATATTCTAAACTTTATGGAACTTAAAACTGTTTCTGTTTAGTTGTAATGTCGGCAAGACGATAGACAGTTGTGACGACAACACATACAAATATGGCTACCGCAGATGGCAAGCAAGATCGATACCCGACGGCGGTGCCCTCTGTCTAGCCTGAATGAACGTTAAAAAGAATTAGAACATTCACCGCATCTTACTTTAAACTCGCAACTCTTTAAAAATGTCCAAGAGTAGTTTTATTATAAAATCATTATAGATGCGTTTTATAAGTGATGGATCTCTTATGTGCATGGCCACTAACCAAAGTCGATACTGCAGAATATTGTAAAGGTCAATACTCCTGTCTCGCAGAGCCAATTGATTTTTCCAAGAGCCTAGTTCAAAAACCTTTAGCATTGAATTCTCAGGAAATTAAGATTTTGCTGCAGTATTTTCTGTAATTTATCAACGGTCACGTCTACAATCGAAAGGGGGTGATATGCACGTCTCTTCGACAATTATATATACAAAATTGAACTTATAAGCAACTCGCGTCGTGTACCATTGCAAAATGGTCGATAAATTGCCATTAATGCAATATATT